TGCAAGCTTAAGAAGGCCATCTATGGCCTTAAGCAAGCGCACAGGTGTTGGTACGAGAAGCTGGAGGAGGTGCTGCTGGGTGGAGGCTTCAAGACGTCCCAGGCGGATCACAGCTTGTTTCTGCTTGGAGAGGGGGAGCAGCTGCTCTTGCTGCTTGTGTATGTTGACGACATACTGCTGTTCTCACCTTCCATGGAGAAGATTGAGAGGACACAAAAGCTGCTGATGGACAACTTCAAGTGCAAGATGCTGGGGGATGCCCACTACTACTTGGGGCTGCAGATTGAGAGGGATGTTGAGAGGAGGTGGCTGAAGGTGCATCAGTCACACTACATCTCTGGTGTCATGGAGCGGTATGGTGTGACTGGGGGTCGCACTGTGATGACACCGTTCCCTGCGGGCTTCAAACTGAAGAAGGCAGCTGAGGAGGATGATATACTCGAGGATGAGCAGCAGAATGAGTACCAGTCACTCATTGGGAGTGTGATGTATGCAGCTGTGCATACGCGACCTGATGCTTCATTCGGAGTGGGGCAGCTGGCCAGAGTTGTGCAGCGGCCCACTGAGGAGCAGTTGGAGGTGGCAAAGCGCTTGGTGCGCTACCTCGGATCAACGGCATCTGCTGGTGTTCAGTTTTCAGCTGGCGGCCAGCTGAAACAGATTGGAGCAGATGGGGTCACGCCTGGAACCGTGAAGCTGTCGTGCTTCACCGACGCTACGTGGGCCTCAAAGGAGGAGGATCAGTCATCAGTTGGCGGCTTTGTGTGCATGGTCGGAGGTGGACCAGTGAGCTGGAGGTCCAAGAAGCAGAGTGAGATTGCTCAGTCGTCCGGAGAGGCAGAGTACATGGCGATGTACCATGCCATCAAGGAGATCGTGCTCCTGAGGAAGCTGCTGGAGGACATGGGAGCTGAAGAGGAGGGACCTACACCACTTTTCTCCGACAGCGAGGCTGCTATTGGCATGGCCAATAATCCTATCCTGAATGGGCTGAACAAGCACATGAAGATTAAGTGGCACTGGGTGAGGCAGATGGTGAAGGAGGGGATTGTTGAGCTTCACCATGTAAAGGCTAGCAAGCGGGCGGCAGATTTTCTCACCAAGAGACTTCCCGAGAGCGCACATTGGAAGTGTGCTAAGATGTGTGGCATGGCATTTCACTAGTGTGGGCAGCAGTGTCATGAGTGCATGTGTGATTGTGTGCATGAGAGTTTGCATGTGTGTGATTGTGTGTGCATGCAGTCCGTTAGTCTGAGGGGGAGTTTGTTGGATGCACGTCATTCTGAGTGCATGTCATCCAAACGTCCTGCCGAGTGCTCGTGCAATTCATGCGTGCATTTTTTGCATGAGCATATATCATTGTGCATGGCTGTTGGATGTTATCATCTCTGTGTTATTCTCCAAGTTTAAATGCTTGATCATGCAGGAGAAATCCAGAGCTTTCCAACGATACCAAGATCGCCTTATTCCGACCAAGATCGCCCAAGTTACAAGATTTCAAAGACTTGGATTTCTTATTACCTTTTTGAGGTTATGTCTAATTTGGGTGATTACTTGGATATGACTATAAAGGGGATCTTTGGTTGGGTGGTTAGGGAAGGCAACTTTGACTTTTGGATTGGGGTGGCTAGAAGTTTCTAGCATGGGTTGCAAATGTTGCAACACCTAGGCAAAATCCAACTAGATTGAATTTTGCATGTGACACCTCAAGGACCTCATGATGAGGGTTGCATCTTTGCTGCTAGGAAGGTTCCTACCATCCTTCCCTAGCTCTTGGAGAACCCCTTCCCTCTCATGGTTCTCTTGGAGTCCCCAAATCCAACTTTCTATGCCCTTAATGTTTGTACTTCCTCCACCATTCTAGTCATGCGGCTGCTGGACGTTTTTACTTGGTTCTCACTCTATAGACCATCTTAACGACTGATTCAACTTGGAGATGGTAGCTAAGCCTAAGGCGCACAATCCTACTGAGTGGATTTGCGTTTAGTTGAGTAATGAGTTCGTCGTAAGCTCCCAAAGTGACGGATCCTGAACAACACGAGATGACCCTCACTCTCGTCCTGCTCCTCACCCTCGCAAGGACTTTTGCCCTCATCGACTAAAGCATTGAGGGTGTTATCATCCTCAACGGCTGCACGCAGAGAAGTATTGGTGGAAACATCTGCGTGGCGGAAGTATCGTTCAACTGCTCCTCTACGGCTGTTTCTGCAGTGGGTGTTTGCGAAAGTGACTGGTGTTGAGTGCTGGAGTCATGTCGCCGCAACTCCGCGTTCAGCCTGACCCTCAGCGCAGCAAGGTCTTCACATGACATATCCCCCAACCCAGGGTCGCGTGGAACTTCCTTGTTACCAGCACCTGGGTGAGCGCTAAACTCTCCAGTTTTCTTCGCAGGGGGCTTGTAACCAGTAGTGTCGTGACCCCGCAGAAGAACTGAAGCTGTACGTTCGCATTGAGGGCGTCCGGGACCCTGCGCTTGGTTGGCGCGTGCCTGGGATAGGGCACTGCTGGCAGCGAGCTGGTTGGCCATGCTGAGTGTGCGAGGAGGAATGTGGATTGGTTGGGAAACTCTGCGTGATGGGTTGATGCGTTTGATGCGTCGCACAAGCGGTCACTTATGACGATTTAAACCAGGTGAGGAAACGATTTCATTGGCTGTTGAGACAAACATGCAACCTATAACTGGCATGAAACAAAGAAGTGGAGTGAAACAAATGCTTTCATACCTATAGAATGCTTCACGGACTGTGTCAGGGATGATGTCACGCAAGGCTGTAAGGATATGATCGAGAATCCCCAAGTCCGCTTGGTGCATCAGGTCCGGCATGACTGCTAGGTGTAGGTTACCTCATTGTTCCGACTCGAACCTCCAACCACAAATGCGCTCTGCAAATTCAAGCGAAGTCAAGTACACGGACAGTGAGAGCTGGAAAAAAGTAACACGTAATAAAGCAAACTCGGGCATCAAGAAGTACTGACCTCGACTGGATGGGTCGACAGGTCTTCCATTGCTGCCTCCCCACGTCGTCTCCTTGTCTTTAGGGCTGCGCAAATGTCTTGTTGTTGCTGGACAGTGCGCCATTTTAGGTGTGTCTGATATTCGGCCAGGTCATCCTTGTGGACAGTGCAGAGTGAGCAGGGGTAAGTTGTACCCAGAGATTTGGTACAGGTCAACTTAGAAGTCTCTGGGTAGTCCGCGATGTAAGCATACAGCGCCGGGTACGCGGTGAATTAGTGGCCCGATAAGTCTTCCACCCGAGCGCCCCTGTATGGGGCACTTGCGTGTATCCACAAATATGGTTCAGCAAAGAAAACCAGTAACCTTGAACTTACACATGACTGGCGGCTTTGGGGGGTTGTAACTGTCAATGGGAGTTGTGTGTTGGCCCCGTCCTCGCTTGGGCGGAGCCGACTTCGTGGTCGGGCGTGAGGGGAGCAGCCGACCTGCAGCAGTGGGCGAGCTGGTTGACGAGGAGGTCGACCTGCACGGGGACCACTGCACTGGCGCCGACTTCAGGGTGGCGCCGACTTCAGGGAGGTCGACCTGGGAAGTCGACCTGCGGAGGACGTCACCTTGGTGATGTCAACTTGGGGAAGCCGACTTCGGTGGTCGGCTGACGGACTACTGGTCGACCAGGTCTGCTGGTCGACCTGCTGGTGGTCGACCTGACCTGGTGGTCAACGAAGGAGGGACCGACGCCGACCTTGACTCAGGACGCCGAGCAGTTGGGCGTCGAAGCAGCAGGGCGTCAACTTGGTGACGCCGACTTCGGGTAGCCGACTTGGGTGGTCGGCTGACAACTGCGCTGGTCGACATGAAGCTGGTCGACCAGGAGTGCTGGTCGACGTGGAGCTGGCCGACCAGGAGTGACGTCGACCTGGAGCTGGTTGACCAAGGGGTGTGGTCGACCTAGTGAAGTCGACTTGGGGTGGTCGTCGACTTGGGAGGTCGACGAGCACATACAGGAGCAGCTGGTCGACGTGGTTGCCCGGTCGACCAGGTTAACTGGGTAACGAGGTTCTGCGGAGGAGTGCGACGGTCGCCCAGGCGAAGTTGGCGAGCCCGACCTCGGGGGTGGTATCCCGAGGTCGACGTGGCAGATCAGGTGGAGTCGTCAGCACGAGGATGACTTGGTGTGTGCGGTGTGCAGGTGACGAGGCTCAGCCCGCCAATCATCTGGGAGCACCTGCGAAGCTGGTGCGATGCTGTTCTGCGGAAGCAATGCTGGCACGCCGTCAACCTGCGACGTTGGCACGCCGTCGACTTTGCACTGCTGGAGCGCGGTCGGCCAAGTCGAGCTGGAACGCGGTCGACCATGCTGCGCTGGCAGTCGACTGACCTGAGTGCTAGCTCTGATGTAGTCTTGCCATGCCAACTTCATTGTATCATTCTTGTCAACTTTCTCTAGTGAAACTCTTGCCAAATTACCTTGTGGACTAGCAAGCAGTGTGTGCACTAGGAAACAACGAAGGACCAAAGAACGCAGAGATTGCACGAGCACCCGTGCCTAGCCCGTAGTCTAGCTCCCGTTGTAGTAGTTATCTCCGCAGTAACGCCCTGCCAAGAACCTTATGGAATACTTGCAGACGGTCAAGGAAGGTGTACTCTGGAGTTGATACCGGTCATCGCATGACCGTGGGGTTTCCATTGGTCCTCGCGTGCGATGTTGGCCAATGACATGTATATGGGATGCCCCTTAGACTTCCCTCTCGAATCCATCATCGTCACATCCGAGGCGAGTATGATGGTCGCAACAACATCAAGCTTGTCCTGGGTGGAAGAATGGTGAGTTGTAGAATGGAAGGAGCGGTATAAAAGAATTGTCAGGCAAGCGATTGTACTACAGATGGCCATGCCCCAACCAACAACATGCAGCGTACCTGGACATTATTCCAAAAATCTGCCGTCTCGGTTGCATCGTACACACGAACGCCATTCAGAAGCTTTTGATGGGCTCTTGTCACGAGTCCTCGAGCATTGCGGGATTTTTTTAAAAGGGAATTCATGGCCTGGGTGTGAGGGGCAAAGTAGGGCGAATGAGGTACAGGGAGGGAGAATGTGGGGTGGGGGAGAGAGAATGAGGTGCAGAGATGATGAGGGGCAAACACTGAGAATGAAAGGCAGGGATATAAAATATATGGTGGGGAAGAGAGAATGAGGTGCAGGGAGGGATTATGAGGGGCAAACACCGAGAATAAAAAGAAGGGAGCGAGAATGAGGGGTGGGGGAGAGAGAATGAGGAGCAGGGAGGGATGATGAGGGGCAAACACCGAGAATGAAATGCACGGAGGGAGATTGAGGGGTGGGGGAGAGAGAATGAGGTGCAGGGAGGGATAATGAGGGGCAAACACCGAGAATGAAATACAGGGAGAGAGAATATGGGGCGGGGAAGAGAGAATGAGGTGCAGGGAGGGATGATGAGGGGAAAATACCGAGAATGAAATGCAGGGAGGGAGAATGAGGGGTGGGGGAGAGAAAATGAGGTGCAGGGAGGGATGATGAGGGGCAAATACCGAGAATGAAAGGAAGGGAGAGCGAATATGGGGTGGGGGAGAGAGAATGAGGTACAGGGAGGGATGATGAGGGTCAAACACCAAGAATGAAAGGCAGGGAGAGAGAGTATGGGATGGGGAAGAGAGAATGAGGTGCAGGGAGGGATGATGAGGGGAGCACCGAGAATGAAATGCAGGGAGGGAGAATGAGGGGTGGGGGAGAGAGAATGAGGTGCAGGGAGGGATGACGAGGGGCAAACACCGAGAATGAAAGGCAAGGGGAGAGAATGACGGGTGGGGGAGAGAGGATGAGGTGCAGGGAGGGATGATGAGGGGCAAACACCGAGAATGAAATGCAGGGAGGGAGAATGAGGGGGGAGGGGGAGAGAGAATGAGGTGCAGGGCGGGATGATGAGGGGAAAACACCAAGAATGAATGGGGAATTCGGGGAGGAAGGGGAGGAATGAATAGGGACTGAGGGGAGGAAGGAGAGGAGTGAATGGGGAATGTGGGGATGAATGGTAGGAATGAATGGGGACAAAAGGGAGGAAAGGATGAATGAATGAGCATATGAGTAACCAGCAGCCCCAAGCGTCTGACGGCTGGAAAAAAATATACACATAGTCCTCCAAACAGAACCAAAACAAGAGGAATTTCTTTTGAAACTGGGTTGGAGAGAAAGAATGGGGAAAAGGGAGCATGGAATGAGAATTTGAGTAGCTTTCAGTCCCATGAATTTGAGGGACGTGGGAGAGGCAATGGGATTAACCTACGCCTAACCTTGAGGCTGTCGTAGAAGTGATATTTCAATAGCGCCTTTCCCGCGATTCGGCTCTCGCCACTTTTCCATGACCGATTGGTGTTGACCGCTTTGGTCGCCATGCATAGGTCTCGTAGGCTTTTCTAGCCGCAAACCTTGCCTAATCGACCGCCGCTTTTGTTGAGAATTTGCAGCAATGCCGCTACAGCCCGTTGAGACAACTTCTCATTTAAAACCCATCGGCATAGCTCATCTTCAAAGGAGAATGGGGTTGGAGGACTAGGCTCCGCATCTTGTCCCGAGCGTAAAGGCCCCTTAGGCATCGCAGCACGTTCATGATAAGGAGATGGCGGTTCCTCTGAGTCTGAGCTATCCTCGCACACAAGCCTATCATCGTGGATCGGAGCTCGAGGACTCATATTTTCAACGAACATTTGAGGCGAGAAGGGGTCTTCTCGGGCCATTGGTCGAAAAGTGCTCAGAAGAACTGTGCAGTTCGCATCGTTCCCTGCACCATCGCTTGCGGGTCTGCACGCCGCATTGCTAGCTTGCGCCAGCCTGCATTGGCTGCTTCCGGCATGTCTATGAAGCCCTCCTCTACCAAATGGGCTTGAACGACATGTTTTACAATAACCTGTGGTAGATCGTACATGACTATGCTAATCCGTTCCTACAATTACGACTGAAAAATAGTATCTGTAAAAGGATTGATGGAGTTGCTCGGATGTGTTGGGATCAGAAGCTGTATAACGTTGCTGCTCTTTTGCTTTTGTTTGATTGCATTATTTCCAAAGAATTGACCCTGGGCACCACTAAACCCAAGGAATTCACAGTTTTTGGAATTTGTGGTGAAATGTGCGCCCCGATTTCCAATGTGTTGAATTTGTAAATGTGAAGTTGACGTGACCCGATAAAATTGTGGTTTGATTTTCGCCACCAACGGGAAGACGTCGCTGGTGGGAACCCCCTTTGGCAAACTCGTCAACAAGTCAATTCAATTGAGACACCAGTGTGCGAAATTGACTCGCGACGGAATCCAACAAGCGACAACGCAATCAGCAGTACCGCAATAGGCACATCGCCAGTCACTTTTTGGAACGTTAAGAATTGCCAATTCAACTGCCCACACTTAAAATGTCGTTAAAAGCCAAGTCGTGAATGCTTACTTTGAAAAATATCAGAACCACTCCTTTGAAAGAATTACTGTGGCTCCTTAGTGTGAACCGTAAACGGCCAGGGGAGGGCGAAGAGGTGTGGTTGTGCGACACATCTCATTATCAGAAAAGTGGTCAGCTCCTTGTACCACTTCACCCTCTCCCGCCACTCACCATGCTGGCGCCATGATGAGGTGCACAAAAAAAGAGGTGACAAGAGTTTTGACGGGATCAAGTAAAAAAGAATATAGGTTGGAAGAACACGTCTAGTGGCACACGGGCCACAAAGGGACAAACTGAGGGCTACAATCTGGAAGTGAGCTTTGAAAGAAAAGGAAATCATGCCTGGCAAGATGTGAGATGGCAGCAGCAGAGACCACCATGACAAGTGAATTCAGGTAGCAAGTGGGTTGGCATAAAGGTATCGCAATGTTATCTTGATATGTTGATGCAGCGACCAATGCAATTCGAGCACCACAGTGCCATTTTCATGTTCCCCAACTTGAAATTCAACCCCCTTTTGTCTCCATAGGAAGTAAGACCTCTACACGAGCCTGCAAGCCATCGATGGTTGACACAAACCTCTTCAAACCAGGTAGGCACTGCAAACACTCTACCCCTGCTCGTGACACCGCACCTTTCCTACAACATAAAGACTCCAAACTAATTAGTCACGAGATGAGATCCATGGCAGCATTGGAGAATCCGGGTCCTACAAAGAGGAGATTCAGCACGGAGTCGCAAACCACCCAAAAACTCACATCCACATTCTCATTCTCCCACCCTAAATATTACAACTTACTTCCAAAGCTTGTAATTTTTCCCAATTGCATTGTAGAAGGCCATTTAAAGCTTCCTCGAAAGCATCTTCAAGCTTGAGCATACGATTGGTCTGCTCAACGACCTCCCCCCTCACTGCTGCCACCTCCCCCTTGGATGTTGCTAGCCCCTCCACTTGCCCTGTCATTATGTTCTTGTGTCATCTTGCTGCGACCGCCCTCACTCTCAGCTCAATTGCCGCTTCCCACTCACCCACCCCCACAAGCTGCCTTGAAGCAACCCACCAGCTACATACACACCCCTAATCTTCAACTTGCCAAGTTAAATGTACACGAGAGAATGTAAAAACTCAGATGTCATGAAGCTGAAAGAAAAGAATCAAGAAGACATCATATGTACAGGATATGAAACAAGCAGATGTAAGCATATGATATGCTCGGGCAGCAACGAATCAACATGACAAACATCCAGAAATATATGATGGGGACAGTTCATAACTATGTTGAAAAAGAGAGTGCTATGGTGCTGAAGGGCATCACATACGTCAACAATTGTGGCAGCAGCAACAGGGGGAATAAATATCCATGGAACTCAATTTTTGCAGACAATGCGAGGGCGGCAGAGAGATGGTGTGAATTATGCAGATGGAGGCAACCGAACCAGTGTATATAATGATGCCGTTAGGTCAGGAGCTCAAAGGGCTGAAAAGTACATATTCGGTTTCAGCACTAGAGCAAGAAGCAGACAACCCCTAAATGAGTATAGCAATAAATGAATGAGCCAAAACAATACTGTGCGCCTTAAGGACATGTTCTTACAATAATATATAGATCAGAGGGAATATACCATGAACCTGTGGCGTGGTGAGGGGAGAGACAACGACGAAGCCGGGGCGAGGGGTGGGGGAAGTGAAGCAAAGATGAAGATGAGAATGGGGAAGGGAAATTTAACAGCAAGGGGCATGGGAAGGGTCAAACACAACGAGGTACCCTAGCTGGTTTTTATTTGACATGCCGTAAATTGGCCAACTTCCATAATGCAAAATTGATGGCAATGTGCAACTCTTGCACCCACGCATTGACTTGCCCATAAGGAACACCCATCAGCCACAGCAGTGCCATGACAGTAGTCACTAGAACGTATGTTGTGAGGAACTACGTATGTGGAATAGAATTAGAGGGAGGACAGGACACGTGAAACATAAGTTAGTAATCTTCAACCTCCGACAATACAAACAAGTAAGCTTGTGCAGTTTTGACCGGCTAAGTAGGTTCCTGCTTATCATGGACTTACTCAATTGGAGAAGAGGTGGAAGATCGTGGAGGTTTATTGGGCATGCTGGGTAGAGGAGGTTATTGTGGGGGCCAGAAGCCGAGGCATATATGTAACATTATGCAACGTGGCAACTGCATCAACCTGAAGACACATATAACATGCACGCATATGCATATCAGACATGAAGGGGGAATGAACGGCTCTCAGCATCATGCAACTTCTTGACTTAGTAGCACCTCCTTCGAAAAAAAAAGAGGCATCGACATACAAGAACAATGATGAAGAATGCAGCTGTGATACGGGAGAAGTGATGAAACGACATGAGGTGGCTAGTCTTGAGGCGGGAGGGCGAAGGAGCAAGTGCCATGATTTGAGCCAACAATTTGGGGCAAAAATAGTGATTGCATGGTTTCCTTGCAAGCCTCCTCTCCTATGACAACCTCACTAAAACCAACCACGACTACAAAACCTAGCATTTCCTTTCCCCACGACCCTCTTACCATGAGCGAATGATCGTGTACTCCCTTACTGGAAACTCCCACAACCCTCATTACCTCCGGTCGCATAAACACATTATAGCGCTTACACAATAACCACATTATGGTAACTTTGCGCCTGATTCTGGATGAGGTGGACCTGTCCCGACGTGTCGCTCTTATCCGAACCTATTATCAACTTTCAGGTTATAAGTTGACCGGGCCCGGGCGGATATCGACGACCCGGCACCCCCCCAGTCAGTATCGTCACCCGTATTGGGAGAAAAGGCCGGGTCCAGTCGTGTCGACCAGACCCAACCGGGTCAAATTTTCATGCCTACATACGCTGTTCTCACAGGTTATAGATCGCCTGACTTGTCGTGTAGTAGAAGACATTGTCCTGGAAGGGCGCACTCATGGATCTGATGTGAGCACCTTAGGGTGAACCCTCGACCATTGGACGGAGCAGGGCCAAAGACCAAGCTCACAACAAGATTAACAGCTTATAATTGAGCATAATGACGCGCTCTTGCTTACAGTTGTCCGCAATACAACAGCCTTTTTGAACATCCATCGTAACCACTAGATTCGCGTGTATCTATTCACTTAGAGGCCAAGTCATTTTTGCTCACAATGGTTCTTCTTATTACACAGCATCCGACCCTGGTGTTTGTCAGGCAACGTCAAGATTGTGTTTCCAGTTTTCATTACGCTCCTTAAGCCTCCTAGGAACATTAAAATCAACACCTGACAATTTGTATACTTTTGCACGAGGAGCTCCCAAAGTTGGTTCCTCGAGAACACATCACCAACTTCAGGGGCGTTTCCAACCGGATCCAGGCGAAGCCAAGCAACTACTTATCAATGAGGTGCTCGATCTTCAGGTAGATCATCCTTCAAAGGCTATCATTTGTGCATTGCACATCCTCAGTCTGCCTGTATATCATCATCGCACCATGCCGCATAAGAACCAACGCTCCAAGCTTGTAGTTGACCCTCCCATGGTCTCAGATGACAATGAAGTCCCTGCTGTTATTGGCGTGGCTCCCGAGAAGGAACGATCGTCAATGATTCAACTGCTGGCAGTTCAGGCCTGTCAGTGAAAGAGAAGGCAACCGACAACCA